ACTTCACGTTTATTCTAGGATATTATATTCCTTCAGATAATTCCTTAGATCCTCTCAATATATAATACTCGTACGCTAAGGTAACATAACGACTTTTTACCAATTATAAAAATAATCATATTCATGAATCGTCGTAAGTGTGCTACTGTTGGATAGGGAATTAGCTCTCACTCCATAAAACAGAATTAAGGCGAAAAGGTATTACTAGTGCTGTACTAGTAATGCATGTAAGTACTACTGTGTGCGTGCGTGTTTATAACGGAGGAGGAGGCGAGATGGATGAGAAAGAACAGATCGCAATCAATGGCCCGTCAATTACGGTGGGGGGTCACTCATTGCCCACTCATCTGAGAACAAGGGCTGTCTGTGAATAAGATACGTCAGATAAGGAATTTTATGTGTGTACAATGAATTGGGACTAAATGTCGCGCTTCGTGTCAACTCTTCATTTTCGACTTCATTTGAGAATGATTATATTCAACTTTCAAAACATTCCACCGTAATCACACAGATATTTTAATTTTTTGTTTTATTTTTTTGCTTTACATGTGTAATAAAATACAAACAAAGTATCAATGTCTTCAAGATTTCATGCGAGCATTTTCATTTATCGCAATTTGAGGTGTTATTTTTACACGTACTCCACATTTTCCTCCTAAATATTCATATCAAGAACTACCATTTATCTTAACTGCTAATCACCTTGCCCCTGCCTTGCATGCGATGTGTCTTATTTTGTAAATGTAATAATAAATAGTAAAAATAAAATGTAAAATGTTTTGTAAAAATAAAATGTAAAAATTTTCGTCTATAGGTTTCATGAGTAATCCGCAATGCAAATGTATCCGGAGTGAAAAGGGGTTTACTTGCAACTGATTTCGATCTAAAATTTTGTAAAATCATTTCTTAGAACATTTTCACAATATTTAATTGGGGGAGATAAGTAATTAATGAACAATGATCATTAATAAAACAACAAAATGATACCTTTTTGAATTTTGTGTCGTAGTGTCTCTGTTATTAAATAAATAAATCATACTTTTCCATGCAATTCCGTTCCTTGACTTCAAAATTGGATTGTTTGAATTTGACTTAAAATGTGGGCTAATTCATCAAATAAGCTCATAAAAATGAAGTAGAAGATCAAAATACAAAAAGAATGGAGAAAACAGAATTTACTCAATCGGTAGATCTGTCACTTGTGTTCGAAGACGCACGTTAATTCAAAGTACTCGAATTTTATTGGAGCATTTGGAATTTGAATTTGAACATAATTATTTTGACCCATACATTTATATAGTATTTGAGAACGAGTCGCCGTCTGGGTGTCCGTCACTCACAGTCAGACCACTTTCCGTCCCGCAATCGAGACATATGAGGAGAACTGATGTTTTGAGAAATGTGTTTTGCGTTCTTTAGGGTGGTTTAATTAAATTAACAAACGTCACCTAAATAGATTTGTCGGTGGCATAGATTAAACCACAGTACCCAGACACAATTTTCGCTCCACGACACTATAATTTTCTTCCCCGCAGGTGGCAACACTGATTGCTAGCATCTCTATTATACGCGCACGTGTTCTTGAGCTCCGGAATACCTACCCTCACTCCTTTGCCAACATTAGTTGAATTTAGGATAAATGACGGCAACGAGCGTTGTAGGCAAAATCTGATAACCAGGAATGTTTGCTCCCGTGTGATAGAAACTATTTTGCTTCGAAAACTGAACAACAAATTTGATGTAAAATTCCTTTTGTGAAAAAAACGAACTCCCTACTCCTCTCTCAACTAGGGAAGCGAGGGCTCAAGAAAATAATAGCGCAAATAATATATGTAACAAGTGAATCGCGCGAAAGTGGTGTTGCTTTGAAGTTATTCATGAGAAGTGTTTCATCCGTACTTTTAATAATAAATGCGAAAAAACAACGTACAGTATCATCTTGTAACTTATTAAATTTGAATAACTTAAAGTAAATACGGAGATAATCAGAACTATGAGTAATGATAGAAAATGAAAGCACATCCTTACGTTCTTAACACATTTACGTTCTTAAGCGCACATATAACGATTTTCAAAGGAATGTGACCAACAACTTAACAATCTAAATCGAAGCCGGTAAAAACAGTTTCAATAGTAAAGGCGAAACCGAAACAATTATTCTTTAAGTTTCTTGATGGAATTTCTTTGACCGTTCATTACTGACATGAAGTTCATTTACACGTTGTGGTATTTTATAACCAATTATAACTACACCACCAACTCTGCACCACCTACAAAATCGATCAAACGAAATTGTTGTCGGAAACAAAAGACAAATATATCGCCACTTTCCAAATTCTCTTATTTGACAATAATTCATGACTTAGACATGTTTCCTTTTTTCTTGAAAGGTGTTTGGATTAATTAGCTTTTTGCAGAAATTCAATTTGCAAACACAAATTCGAACTAGATAATATCAATTTTTGTGAAATAATAATAATAGATATTGCTCAAATAGGAGACAAAATTGTATTCGTACCCGAATGCGAAATTTGAGTCATGTCAAGTAATTGCTACCATCTTTTTAATTACATTTTCATGTCACAAACATTTGTTTAATTTTAGCTCGCGAAAATGTTCAAATAGAAACTAGAATTGACTAATATTTTTTAAAGATTGGAAAGTTTTTAGCCGAATGCCAGCCGAACCTTTTATTCCGATGTGTCGATATTAATGTAAAAATAATATACATCATGAGATATTTGCATACCCATGATTTATATACCCAAGTGGAAAGTTATGTTGTCTCGGGGAAGAAACTCGTCAGGAAATTCAGATAAATGTATTAGCGTGTGTACACTAGTATTCAAATTTTCATTGGATTTTCAAAAACATGACAGAATAAAAGGTATTTTGATATTTTAATATCTTAAACGAAAGTAACACCTTATATTCCACCTCCTCGTCAAAGGTAGTGAAGAAGAATTTCAGCATAAACACGAGATTTCTAAAACTTCCCCCGGGCACGTCAATCCGTGCTCGCGCGAGCTACAAGCGCGCCTGGGAAGCCCGGCACTCCTACGAGCGCGGGCGACTTCCTCTCTAAACAACAAACATTTTCGTCGGGAGGCAGGATTAAGTTTCAATGTCGATTTTTTTTGTTTTCTTTCGTTTTTGTGTTTTGTTTGATAAAAGCATTCAGTTATTTGTTGTACCCAACAAGAAGGTTAAATAAATTTTACAAGCCTCTATTACTTAACAATGCTTGCTTTCGAATGAACCCTCTTTTAACAGACAATAATTTTAGTATAACAGACTCCTCCAAAGTAAGTTAATCCAATTATTGCACCCTTGAGTAAGAATGATTATAAAATAAAGATGCATTCGATACAGAGGGTATATTTTTTCTGCCAACTGACAATTTGATATCTGACTGATGAATTATTACATTTTGGCCAATCATTTCTTTGCTTTAGTAGAGAAAATGGGAATTAATTTAGTAACATGGGGGGCAATAATTGACGACTGACTTTTCTAATAGACAGTCATAGGTCAGGTATCCAGTGATGAAGCATGATTCAGGATGAATTTGTACAGCTTTTATTTTTAAATCTCGAGCCAGATGGACTGGACGTAGGGCCCGCGAACGCTAGTAAGCTAGTTTTAGTGGTTCATTTATCTCGGGAATGCAACATCTCAAGAAAAGCCATGCTTCAATGGTAGGAAACTAAATAAAACTGGGTTATTTTGTTTGTTACAAAAGTGAATAATCACTAAGGAACGATGACACTAATATTATATGAAAGCACTCGCTTTCGAGGCGAAATTAAATCGCATAAAACATAATGCCGTCATAACCGCATTCCGCAAACGCATTCCGTTTTGTGGGCAACTTCCGGGATGAAAAATTCCGGAAGCCCTTGTGGCGACAAGAGCGCTTTGCAACTCCCTCGTGGCGGTGCCCTGTCCTTTGAGTGACAGGCACTCCCGCTGCGCCGGTGGAGGCGGCGGCGGCTGGCCCACCCCGGAAGAGACTGCGAAGGCAGCGGGGTCGTCGGCGGCGAGGTCAGCGACCAGACGGCCAATGGGGGGTGCGAAGCGCGCCCTCCACCTTTGTTCGGCGCGCGCGCGCTCCCGCCAATCCGATTGGTATTCGCGGACGGCGACACAAAGGGAATCGAACACGCCGACAGCGCTCTCGCGATATCTATTGTCTGCTCGTCGCGATCATGTAAACGTCCGCAACATGTTATGGGGGATGCGGGAGGCGGAGCAAGTCGGAGATTTTCCCATGAGAGGGGAATTTTAAGTAATGATATTACACATTAAATATTAATATTGTCTCTCTAATGAGACCCATAACTATACTGACAATTAATGTGCGTGGTAGTCGTTGCGCTAGTATTTAAACAATTTTATGATAGCATTAAACGAGAACAATGAAAATAACACAACTGATAGAAACAAAATGTATCCTATACTTTGTTAGCTCTTGATATATCTTTTAGAACATCCTTTTTCTCCCTAAGTTAAATTATATTAGTAAAATTTTGTGAATGCGGCTGATTCGCTTTTATTTTCTAACGATTAGAAGTATCACAAAATTCGGACATAAATACATGTATGAGTATTGTTTTCCTTGAGATTAATAAATTATCTATTCCGTAACAGCACATTTTGGAAAAAGTGGGCCCCCAATTTTACGAAAACATGATTTGATTAAAGACAACGAAACAATAAAAACTTGAGCAAAAACACTGCTTGAAAATCACATAATAGATAAAATTTAACGAATACCGACATCTTATTTGTAAAACGGTTGCGAGTAATAAAGCAACTCCAAAGTATCCGGAACAACGCCACTCACACAACAATCACATCACATAAGCATCACGTCCCGCACGTGAGCACACCGCCAGGTCAACACCAATCCGCCGGCACGTGGGCCACAATGTGTTGAAGGCGGTAATCGCCCCCGCGCACGCAAGGCACGCCCCGAGTCCGCAGGCAGGGCCACTCACCGTAGTCGTAGAGGTCCGCCCGCGAGGGGCGGAGGAGCGCGAGGCCGAAGACGAGGAGCGCGAGCGCGCGCGGGGGCGGGGCGGGGGGCGCGGGCGCCATGGCCGGGCGGGCGCTAATGCGCTCCTCAACGTCGCCTTCGATCCCACGCCGCGCCAAGTCCGCGGTCGAGTCGAGTGTTGGCGCCGCGTACGCCGCACCGCCGCTGCCGACGTCGTCGGCCGCTCGCCGGGGCGGGCAGCGAGGCGCGGACGCGAGCACGCGCTGCCGCAGTCCACGTCGCCGCGCCGCTCCTCCCGCTGACGTCAGCTCGCACTTGTTGCTGCGCCGCGACTGAACGGGAACGACGCGCGCCGCCGCCGCCGTAAACGCCACCGTCGCCGCGACGCCGGCTCAGCCGCTTCCTCCACCGCTTCCCCCGTTAACTGCGCCACCGCCGTTACTGTTTCTGTCCCGTCCGTTGGCGAAATCTTCTCTTAACATCGTCAATGTCACCGTCCCCGGCCCCGGCCCCTCGCTTCGCAGCTGACACCAATATCCGTCACGACCAATAATCATCTATATCCCTCCCGTCAACACAGTCCCGTCTTTCCTATGTCAATCGTAGCAGCTGAGTCCACAATGCTGCTTTTTTCAACTTGGCGTTCCTTGCCTTCTACAGTCGTAACCATATGATAGTTGCCACTCAATAGGTATTCAAAGTATAACATTTTCCTTCACATAAATGGTTTTGTTTTTCTCATTCTAGCATTTACATTCCTCGACTAACACCTGATTTGCAACGATCACGCATGGCAGTGATCCGGCATTATTCTACCATCACTACGAAATCGCGTTTACAATATTTTTTATCATCAATTCTCAGCCAACATTTTTCGCCGATACAGTTCAAGTCATTTTCAACATTATTGCCTTACAGCATTCAGTGCATTATAGCTCACACATTATTTCTTGTATACCTTGCTAATTCAACATACACTATTTACACCCCCTTATTTCATGATTACATCTATTGACTCAGACCATTACTGGCCTGGTTTTCATACGTCTATCCACGTGCACGTACGCGCACATTCACTGTCTCTTTCTCCGAGAATAGCTTTGACAAAGAGTCTCTTGCTCACTTCAATGCCAACGTCACGCCCAAATCCGCAAAAACTCCGCCTCCTCATTCATCCCTTCTTCCTACTCTCCCAAATCCATATCTTCCGTCACTTACGCAACAGCGGTTAATTCTCTCTTCTCCCATATCTCAGCCTAAAGCCACCTCCTCCTCATTCACTCTCAAACGGCGCCTCCCCCACAGCTGCCTCCACCCCCTCTCTCTCCACATTCAACCCCTTCTCCGCGTCGCCAACGTCATCGGTGAGGGCGGGGCAGGAGGGGGGAGGGGGCGTGGCGGTGTGAGGCGGTTGCGCGTGAGAAGCCTGCGGGAACGTGCGGTGAGGCAGGACGGGCGCGCGGTGGGCCACAGACGCGCGTCGCCTCTACCGCCGCCGCCGCCCCTGCGGTATCGATCCGTCCGTCCCGCCCCCTCCCGTTACCGCCTATACGCCCATCCCGCCCGCTGGCCGCCCACGCGGTGTGCGCCGCGCGCCAGGCGGCTGGTCGCGCCGCGCCGCGCCGCGCCGCGTCATGCCGTTGACGCCGACGACGACGACGTTCGACGCGCAGGTCGCCCGCGGTCGAGACCACGCCCGCGCGCCCCCGCGTTGCTTCCCTCCCCTCGTGAAGACGCCTTACGACGTGTGAGGATATCCACGTAATCCGTCGGAATAACGTCCAAACTATAAACCTGAGCGGCGGTTTTTGGAGTACGAAAGCTGATTCGACTTAGCATTCTCATCGAAAAATTAACATGATTCTAGAAACATAAAATCTCTGAGGCGAAGAGAGTTGGAAGAAAAATATGGACAGCAAAATTCAATATGTTCAAATTAGAATCGATGACTAGTTAAGTATGCTTAGCATGCCACTTGCCAACCCCCTCAAATATCTGTTTCTTCCCATGTTCCCCCAAATTCTATTGATTCTTCCCAGTTGCATCATCTATTTTTTTTCAGTTCACCATGACATCACATCCTTTTCAACGGATTCTACAGTAGTGATATTTCATACATTAACTGCAATTAATATTCTGCTTGTACATGAATTGCTGATATTTCCATTTGCATTTTAACGGTCACGATTCTCAGGCCCTTCCTTCCGTCCTATCTAAAAGTGATATGAAATAAAACAAACCACGAAGCATTCACTGCTTGTAGAGCATAATGTATTCATTGCCATCTGAAATTAGGACATTTAAAAATGATAAGTGTTTTAAGAAACTGATTATATTAAAAATACCGTTACACCACACCACTTACTTTTTACAAGAACAGAAATCATTGCATTTCCTGTTAAGTATAGCTTATCACAACGTGTATGTAATAAAATATATATTTAGTATCTCAGTTAATAGAAATTTATTAGCAAAAGATCTTCCGTAAATTTGGCTGTGTGATTAGTTCACTCCACAATTGAAAGGACAAGCGCAGCAGTGATCTAACCCTGCTTCATTAGAATTTGAGATATTGTACTTCAAAGTTGACGGGATCTAGGTTTTCACGTTTTTCCTTTATATTCATTTTTTTTAATCCGTACTTTCTCTGATCATTAGTATTCTTTACCATGCAAGAAAAACTGTCTTAAGATGAAATAAAACGGGAGGAATTAATTACATTATGTTGCTTGAAACATCGTAAAATGGGTTAGACCAGTGTTATACAGAACTCAAACATTGGTTACCAAAAACACATTTTTGATTTTAGAACAAAATAAAAATAATCCTTGAAATTTACATATATGTAAATTTATTTGCTACCTTCAGAAATTAATTTTCAGAAATTAAAAAATATATGATGACATGTGTAGGAAATTATTGAAAATAAATATTATAAACATTATTGTTTGAACATAGGAGTTTGATGTAAGGCACGTACGTCATGACCATATTATAATATATAAGAAATTAAATATTAAGAACTAAATAAAAGTAATAACCACACTATTGTGATTATACGTAATCAGGTAGGTCAATCTTCGTGGTCATGACCTTCCTGATCAGTATCGGAAGAGAGACTTGAAGAAATCATGGTATATAGCTGGCACATATTTTGCAAGTACATTCATGTCTTTCAATTTATTGGTCTTGGAGATTTGTATTTCACAGGTAAATTAATTTGTGTGAGGTCAAAAGTATATTCTCTCGTACTTTGCCCTTAGTGACGTTACTGAATAGTAACTCTCTTGTTCTGACAGTGAATGTTAAAAATGTCCATGAATGATCCTTAGTAACTGTCAAACATGACATTTTACTAAAATTCACTGCAACCTTATCTACCCCAGTGAATTTTATAATACACATTTTTTCAATATTGGTTGTACTGAAACCAACTGTATTCGACTTCCTTTCGACTTCTTGTACTGTCCTTTTCAATTTCATTTACTCCAAAGTTTCATTTAAATCACATTCCTCACACCGTCACCTATATTAGTTATTTGTGCACGTGACTTCATAGGCCAGTTCTTATTCGTCGAATTGGGTTAGACCACTGTTGCACTAGACCACAATTACTTTGAGAACAAAAACTGGCAGAGCATTAAACACTCGAATACTTATTATATTTAATATTTACTAGTTCGGCCACGTAGTTCATGGTTAATGAAAACAGACTGCACAGTTAACTCGATTTTAATATCAGAAAGGTTTAGACCACTGTTGCGCTCAGCCTTTCAATTCGTCTTTGTCTTTCACATTTCTAGCATGGTTTACCTCTTTCCTATTAATTTATATTAATACTTGAGAAATACAAACACAATAAGAATTCACGCGGATAGTGCAAAAGCTATTCAATTTTTTTTTCGTTTACCATCTTACATTTCCACTTGTAGGATTTATGATTCAAGCAAGGCAATCGAATATAACTCTGAAAAAGAGATATCCTTCATGAAAACAACATAATTTCTTGGAATTGTAAAAAAGACCGGCAACCCTGATCTAAGCAATAATGTTTGAAAGTAAAATCAAATTCATCAAATCATTGTTTTGACTACTCAAGGACGAAAATCTCTTTAACTCTGCCGAACACTCTTTCCTTTTTTTCATATTAAACAACTGTTTTAATTTCTCACGGCGCTATCAATCTTACTTATTTAACCACTAGTAAAAACTGTTAACACGAAATAGCTACTAATTCATTCAATATTAATATTCATACTAATTCATTTCATACGAATTCATTTCAAGTAAGTATTTGTCATATTAAAGTCTACTGAAACACAATGTGAAATATTTTAGGATATCAAAATATTCCATAGAAAGCACTGCCAATTATTAGCATAACACCCTTGAAGAATACAATAGTTTGGCAATTTCTCCATTAAACTTCATTCCGGTCTTGTCCTTACCCAATTTACTCAATTGCCTGACAAAATCAACTTATCATGGTGAAGTTACTAAATTCACAATAATAAAACGACGAGCTCTCAAAAGCAAATAATGTGCCTAATATTTTTGAGAATTCTAGAAAAATGCGCTTTTACTTATAAATTGTAATTTACACTGAACACTTCTGAAAATTATAAAAAAACAAAGAAGGAAATTATACAAACAAAGCAGGCGCATATGATTTAAATAAAAATTAGAGCGAAGTGTCTTATAAAATATCTTACTTCATTTACATATAAATATTTCAGAGGTCGGTGATGTACACAAATGCCAGAGTAGGGAAGATGGCTATAGAAAAGAGGATCGACCGCATCGTGCATGACGTTCGAGAGTAAACAAGGGGTCGACAGACCCGGTTCGTATAACGCAGCCTATGAGAAAGAAGCAAGAGCAACGCCGATAACGGCAGCAACAGGGATTATTCGGAGCAATGGCAAGTCAAGGTGATGACACAGAGGCGGCAATTGCAACGCTCAAGTGCCTGAACGCCGAGAGATGGTGTGATTGGGAGAAAGATGGGCAGGCGTGGATTGAGGGTGAGAGCACTGAAGTGCGCTTGAACGATAGCAGCAAGAGTTATCAGAGCAGTCTGGGAAGGATGAGGGCGAGAGGAGGGCACCGAAGAGGTGCCAACAAAATGATTTTGTATATTCTGGAGGCTGAACATCATCACTGCTCTAGATCCCACGATTTCACTCACCAGAGTTACCAAGCTAGCAATAAGGATTGAAGATATGAGGCTACACCCGCGATGAAATAATGATTATGCTGACGGAACGAATTAAATAGAAACGTGGAATGAGAGCTAAAAGAAGACAACAGAAATTGCCCCG